CTCTCTCTCACACACACACACACACACACACACACACACACACACACACACACACAGACACACACACACACACACAGAGGTAGCACCATACATACACTGGTATTTTGGTTCTGATCCTCCTCCCTTTTTCTCAAACGAAGAGCGTAGCACCTAGCATACATTGTTGTGTTCATCTGATTCCATCAGGGTTTGAACCCATGTCTGTTCACTAAATGTAACATTCCTGCCCCTCCTCCTCTTTCACCATGGCGGAGTTGACGATGATATCGATGAACTCCGGCTTCAGCGAAGCTTCGCCGACGAGAAAACCATCCACGTGGTCTTGTCTTGCCAGTTCTTCACAGTTCGCTGCCGTGACAGATCCTCCATAGATGATACGCGTTATCTCTCCCACTTCGTTACTGATCTGATCGGTCAGCCAACACCTTATTTCCAGGTGCACCTTCCCTGCCTCTTCAGGGGTGGCTACTTTCCCCGTACCCATCGCCCACACGGGCTCATAAACGATGACCAAGTTCTCCCAGTCCCCCTGACCTATGGCCGCCTGCACGGCCTGCAGCTGCTCTTCACACACCTTCATCGTATTTCCCGCCTCCCTCTCCTCAAGCGTCTCTCCCATACACAGGATCACCTTCAACCCCTTGCTGAGTGCGTAGGCACACTTTTGAGCAACGACTTCATTGCTCTCTTTCAAGATAAGTCTTCTGTCGGAGTTTCCCGTGACGACATAGGAAATGCCGAGGCCCGCAAGCTGTTCGGCGCTAGATTCCCCGGTGAAAGCACCTCCCTTCTCCACCCAACAATCCTGTGCTGCCACGTGGACATCCTTGCCGAGCTTGCTCATTACCAGCGGGAGATGTTCGGAGGATGGAGCTACCACCACCTCCACCGAAACGCCCTCATTCGACTTCATCTTCCAGCCATTCAACATGTCGACCAGCTTTGACACGCTCTCGACCGTGCCATTGCACTTCCAATTCCCGCCAACGAAAAATTCCCGCCACATTCTCGCTGTCGCTGGCAAATGTACGATTTCCCGCCAACACACACTGAGTTCCCGCCAAAACACACCGAGATTCGAGGGAGAGATCGCTGACGTCCCTTCTGAAGCTCAGGGNTTCGAGGGAGAGATCGCTGACGTCCCTTCTGAAGCTCAGGGGGCAGCGAAAGCCAAGTCAAGCCGCATAAAGAATCCCACCTAATGGGTATGGAGAAAGACAGGACGACGCACGGGGGCAAGGTACTACGGTAGTGTACGTACGGCCTGACTATTGGGGGATGTAATGTAATGGGCATCAGTTATAAATTGCAACGACAATCCAGAATTATGTACAGAATTATGTTCTTCCCCCCCCAAAAAAAAAAAAAAAAAAAAAAAAAGAAGAAGAAGAAAAGAATTATGTTATTCTGGTCATCGTCTGATTGTAGCTGGAATTGAACTTGGGTCCGTATTTCAACAGTTTCTGGGTGTACGAGCTGAGCTAGGCTAGTTATTGTGATCCCCTCTTCTACGGAGCACGACTCCTCTCACCGAGGCATACTCACACTAGCACGTTTTCAATTTCAAATGTATGTGACCGATGACGGCCAGATCTGGATGCACCTGACGTCAATGACGTCCACAGCTGAGTCGAAAAAGTCCCAGTCTGACTCTAGAGCGGGGCCCGGGGGGGTGTCCCTCCACGATAGATTGCAATTTTGCACCGCCGATTTCCCCCATCGGCAATGCCTGCCCACCCCTCGCCACTGTGATGAGGGAATGGTACAGCCTTGCTCTCGCACCACTGCTGTCGTGGGCTGGGGAGAGATCCGGGTTGGTTGGTGTTCCCCCCTACTACACATACACTAGTGAGAGGATGAGATAGATGAGTACTAGCAAGAAAAATGAGATAGATGAGGGAAGAATATAGCTTTTTAAACTAAAAAAAAAAAAAAAAAAAGATCTCAGGTCTGCACCAACTGCAGATACATAAGGGAACTGCAGACTGACAAGGGAGTTGGCAGCCCGTAGGGCCTCCGTTTACCGCCCTTGACTTTTTGTCGTTTTGTGTCCCGCCCTTGACTTTTTGTCGTTTTGTGTCGAGCAGCATGGTGGTCGTTGGGCACATATCGGTAGGCGGGGAGGGTGATGGTAGTTGGGAAGCTGGCAGGATTATTAAGAGAGGGGGAAAAGGGGTGGGGAATCCGTCTGGGACCGGAATTTATGGGCAGCACCCGACATTCTGAGGGCAGGCCGCTGGCAACGGGTTGCTTGTGTGGATGGGTCTCGGAGGGGTTCGTTGGATGTTCTTTTGCTTTTGATTTGCCCTTTTTTTTGGCTTTTGCGTGCTGTCAGTAGCTTCTTCCTTAAACCACCAGTACTTGGCCCAGCTATCGATGCCTAGCCTGGAATGCCCCTGCATTGGCTGGCGCTTCCAGCCATTGTGGTCCGGTACCCCGAAGCCCTAAAGGCATGGCGCGTTAACGGGAAAGCTCCGCGGCCGATAGCTGAATTGTACATATGTTTTTGTTTCTTAGCCATATTTCCAAACTATCTGTTAAATTTTCATACGGGACGCTGGGCCCAGTTCCCAGCACGTGCTGCTCATTGTCCCCGATGCAGAATGGCCATGGGAATGGAGGGCTATATTACTAGGACACTACCCCCCGATCCGGGGAAACACATTCGAGGAGAATATGTTCCATTTAGGCAGGCGGGCTGTTGTGACGAACCACTTTCTGTAACGCGCGATTTTCTGCGTGGTTGCAATGAGGGGTCCTAAGCTGGGAAGATTGGGCCAATTACGGGAGATCGGGATCTTTGGAGAATTGCATCAGTGTCCTCGCTTTTTCGTCCTTTTTCGACGTTTCTTTTTCGAATGGCCAAGCATGGGGTCGGGTGTGTCTTCGGACGGCTGGTGGATTGATTGGTCGGATGGTTGTTTGGCGCGACGCCACGCGCGCGCGCGATTAATAAATGTCGACGTCGTTCTTTCGGTTCGGTTTTGATCTTTTTGGGCGCAGACATCGCGCGGGAAATTGCTTCTTTCTTTTTAAATTTCCTCTTAAATCTTTTTCGAATTTTGTCAAGCCCCCAATGGCTCTCGGAATTTCGGACTTTCCTTCTGGAATTCGTGCTTTTTGCTTTTTCGCATTAGATAGGAATTTAGGAATTCAGTAATTAGGATTTTTCTTGCCACGCGGCGCCTTTTGTTTACGCGCTTCTTCATGCGGCTGCAACAGTACTCTGATTAGTGGGCGCCCTTAATCGTATGTGTAACTGTAATTTTGGGCGGCCGCCATTGTAACTGTATCTCTCTTTTTGCACTTCGTCTCTCCCGCCCTCCCTCTTTTTCTTTTGCTGAAATTTTGTAAGCCGCGGCTTGCATGCTCGGATCGATGCGTGGAGAAGGGCTACGTCCCCCACGCCGCGGCCGATCATGCAAAACGCAGGTGTTCCCTCTCTAATCTTCACTCTAAGTCTTGGTAACTCCGTGTTCTTCGCGCATGCATGCACGCTATAAATTTCGGTTGCGCGATTAGTCAGCTCTCTTAACCCGTTGTTGGAAGCTCGGGGTTGCACGATCAGGAAGGGTCGGCACACGAGCGAAGTAAGAGGTGAGTAAAGTAGGAGTTGGGCGATCCAACGGGCTGGTGCCGAACGCGCGGGATTGACGTGGGCCACGACGGATTGTGGGCACGGGCGGATCCGACGGGTGCGGGAGGACCAAGCAGGGTGACAACTTCGTGGGTTGGTGCGTGATGACGGACTGTCCGCATCGGAGAGAGAAAGAGAGAGAGGAGAGATTTGAGGTCGATGGACGTGGATTTGCTGTTTCTTTGTCTCTTCCCCCTCTCCATCAGTGTACATACATTTTGATTGCGGCCCCCGGGCGGTTTGCCCGTTTTTATCTTTATTTCGGCTCTCTGGAATCTAGACTCGGGTTTTCGCTCACACCTGTCCTTGCGATTGCATTATGTGTATGATTGTCGAATGTATGGATGCATGAATGTTATGCCTGCTTGCCTATGTCTTTTGCGGAGAATCCCTGCCCTTGTTTTTTGTTTGTGCCGAATCTCTTTGCTTGCACCGGATGCAGCGATAGATGGGAGAAGAGTCTGGCCCCGATGTAGATTCCGTTTTTGCTCGTCCCCTGATGAGGTTGTGGTATGATTGCATCTTGCATAACCGAGACTTACGAAGCAA